GTTCAGATCCCCAGGACCCATGTAAAGAGCTAGTAATACATGGTCTACCTGTGATCCCATCATTAGGAAGACAGAGATGGGGGTTCTCCAGGTTTAGCTGACTACTACAAAGAGACCCTGCCTCAGTAAATAATGTAGGTAAGAATCAAATAAGACACCTGATATCAATCTCTGGCCTCCACACGTGTACACATGTGCATGTTCACTCCCCACGTGTATACCCACACACATGCAAAAGGCATTCATACATGCACACCACATACACATACGAAAAAGTTTGAGAAACAAACAAACAAACAAACAAACAACCATCAGACATGTTATCTACCTTACTCATGGGCAGGAGGATCACAGGCTTGAGGTCACCCTGGGCTACACAGTGAGACTCATCTCAAAAACAGAAACCAAACAAAACCACAGATCAATAAAAAGCCCAATCAATATTTAATCAATGTAATCTACCATATTCATCAAGCTAATGAAGAAAAGAAATCCTATCATCATATTATACTTAACAAAATTCAGCATTTATTTATTTATGGTAAAAAAATTAATGGGTACTTTCTCAACTTGAAGAATGTGTCCTAAAATCTTGATAGTATCAAACTTATTGGTGAAAGATGCAATGTTTCCTCCTAAGACCTATCCAAAGATTGTCTACTCTTATCACTTTCAATCAGCATAATTTAAATGCTGCAGTCAGTGTGATCAGGCAAGAAAAGGAATAAAAAGCACGCGATTACAAAGGAGAAAAAACTATCTCCACTCCCAAACAACACAAGTTTCTTTCTTTCTTTCTTTCTTTCTTTCTTTCTTTCTTTCTTTCTTTCTTTCTTTCTTTCTTTCTTTCTTTCTTTCTTTTAAATTACATTTATTCATTTCAGGCCGTAAGTCTTAGTGGCAAGTGCCTTTATTCACTGAGCCATCTTACCAGCCATAATTTCTACATAGAAATTTCCAAAGTACCTGCCAAAAGATTTATAGAACCAATAACTGAGTTCAGTATGTGACAAGATATTCAGATCAACTTACAAATACCAATTACATTTTTATGTTATATTGACAATGAACAGTTAATATATATATAGCTGGAGTTTAAAACACATTACAAGTTATAATCACTCCAAAGGAAATAAAGTACTTAGGCACACACTTAAGAAAGCATGCAAATCCATATGATTACAATTCCACAAGACAATGAGGAAGTCGAAGAAGGGTATAACTAAGTGAAAATTATCATGGTCAAGGATTAGACGAGAATGTTGAGAAGATGTCAGTTCTTCCCAAAGTGATATAGATGTTTGATGTAATTCTTCTTATAAATCCATCACAGTTTTTGTAAATATAAAAGAAGTTCATTACAAAATTTATATGAAAAGACAAATTACCAGTTAGGCGTGGTGGTGCATGCCTTTAGTCCCAATACTTGGAAGACAGAGACAGGTGGATCTCTGTGACTGTTCAAGGCCAGCCTGGTCTACATAGTGAGTTCCAGGCCAGTCAGAGCTACATAATAAGACCCTGTCTCAAAAACAAAACAAAACAAAACAAAAAACACAAATAAAAAAACCCAAACCCACAAACAAACAAAATTGACAAATTACCTTCAAGAGCCAAAACAATTAGTACAAAAGAATGAAGTGGGAAGGATTTCTCTACACAAATAGTCTATAGCTATCAAAATTAAGGCTGGTATTCAATACAAAAGAGCCAAGAAATGGCCCTATACAGGTGGCCTAATTGATTTTGACAGAGGTACAAAAGCAATTTGATGAAGCAAAGACAGTCATTTTATTTGAGTCATTAACTGTTCATAGGTAAAAATAAGAATCTGTATCTTAGGTCCAAGTTTATAAGAAAAATTAATTCAAAGTGAATTACTGACTTAAAAAAAAAAACTTCAGAGGATCTGGGTTTAATTTCCAGGACCCACATGGCAGCTCTCACAACTGTCTATAATTCCAGTTCCGGTGGAATTGACACCCTCACACAGACCTACAAGCAAGCAAAACATGAGTGCACATAAAATAAAATAAAAAAAAATCCTAGCTGGGCATGGTAGTGCATACCTGTAATCCCAGAACATGGAGAGCAGAGGCCAGTGGATCTCTGTGAGCTCAAGGCCATCCTGGTGTACAAATGAAGTTCAGGACAGCCAAGGCCACACAGAGAAACCCTGTCTCAAAAAACTAAACAATAAGATAAGATAAAATAAAGTCCTGAAAAAATAAAATAAAAAACAAAACTATAACACTTTTTAGAGGAAACATGAGAAAAGGTACTTGGGACCAGTGAAGATTTTTAGACATGACACCAAAGGTGCTATACATAAATGCAAAATTTGATAAACTGCATTTTTCCAAAATTTTGCAAAATCTCTTGTTAAACAAATGAAAAGATCATCTGCTGAATGCAAAAACTATTTTCTGATTATATACATATCTGACAGAGGATTTGTTATTAGAATATATAAATATCTTTACAAATTTAATAGTAAGAAATAGTCCAATTTGAAAATGTCCAAAAGACATAAGCAGACACAACATTAAAGAGGACATATAGATGGCAAGTAAAAACATGTAAGGATGTTCAACATCAATAGCCACTAAAGAAGTCCATTTAAAATGAGCTATTACTACAAAATAGCTAAAACAGAAATAGTAACAGTACCATATATTAACAGAGAGTAAATAAACTCTCTGTTAGGAAAACAAAATAGTATACCTAGTCTGGGAAATTTTGGCATACACTTAAAAACTGACTTCCCTTGTACTTACAGTTATTTGGAGCAAGAAATGAAAATGTAAAAAAAAAAAGAAATGAAAATGCATTTTCACAAAAATACCTACAAGACTGTTACAGCAATTTTATTCTTTTAAAAAATGTTTATTACACCTCTTTACATTTGCACATGTGTGTGTGTGTCCTATGTGTGGAGGTCAGAGGACAGTTCTCAAGACTCATTTCTTTCTTTCCAACTTATTCATCTCAGGGATCCAAATCAGGTCATCAGGCTTGGTGGCTAGTGCTTTTACCTACCGTGCCATCTTCATGGCCCAGCAGTTTTATTCTTAACAGGTGAAGTAAACAGCCTAAATGTCCTTCAGTATCCACACTGTAGAATATCACTCAGCAATAAAAACAATGATGGATGTTAAAGAAATTATGCTGAGGTGAAAAACGCCACAGATTTCAAAATGTATGATTCCATTTATATAAAATGCTTAAAATGACAAAATTATAGGGATGGTCTGGTGAATATGTTAGGAGTTGCCAGGGATTATGTTATGAAAAGGAGGTGACTGATGCTAAAGGATAGCAGGGGGAATCTTTGAGATGGTTTGCTGGTCACACAAATAAATCTACACAAGTGATAAAATTTCGTAGAAGTTATATATTCAGGTTCAGAAATAGATGCTTGTGAAGCTGATGAAATCTGAATGAGCATTTCAGATTGGACTAGTGCCATTTGCTTCGTTTTGATATAGTTATGTAAGATTACAATTGGGAGAAAACTCTTGAGAGTTACTTATGATGGCTCATGGGGCCCCTTTGTAATATTTTTACAACTCCCTGTGACCTTTTATTTTTAAACAAATCTATTATAACATAAATGTGAAGGACTATAAATATTTTACTACTCACAGATTTACATAAAATGAAGTAGAAATAAATGAAAATGACTATATAGTTCATCTAGTTGCAAATGATGTATTTTCAGTTCTAGAAAGGTAAATAAAAAGTTGCTTTCAAACATCTGTATTTGTCAGAATTTAAAGGACCAGAACCAGTAGTAAATTATATACTCACTTTTAATTTTTATATTTTGAGATGGTGTGACAGCTCTGGGTATCCTGGAACTTGCTCTGTAGACCAGGCTAGCTCCAAACTCACAAAGATCCGCCTATCTCTGCCTCTCAAGTGCTGGGATAAAAGGTGTATGCCGCCACTGCATGGCAAAATACACGTATATTAGTATTTTACTAAAACTACATATCATTTTTCACTTATTCATTAGAATACTGTCTTCCATAACTATGAGAATGGCTAAACAAAACAAAAAGCTACAGGGCACACAACCACGAAGGTAAGATCCGGAAGCTGCAATCCAGGGCCATAGATCAAAGCAAGCATCCATGGGCGAACTTTTTTCTGATGGGGAGATTCGAGACAGGGTTTCTCTGTGTAGCCCTGGTGTCCTGGAACTCGCTCTGTAGATCAATTCTCTGTCCAATCCTCTGTGTCTCAGAAAAACTCAGCCCTGGTTTAAAGGTTTTTCCCAAATAATTCTAAGAGGCCCACCTAAATTATCCAAGATAATGAAAGACTCCTACTTTTAAGTGAACAGATCTTTAATTTCATTAACAAAAAATACCTCCGCAGAAACACCTGGATAAGGGTTTGAATATGGATGAAGGTAGTCGACATTGGAAAAAAGAAAAAAAAAAAAGCCCCACACCATCATAAAGCATTTTTGCTTATAACTGGATAAATGTGTTGTCACGTGCCTCCTTGCCTTTATTATTTATCCATGCTTCAAGCATAAACGTCAGAAATAATGGTGGTCACTGAGTTTATATACGAATTGCACTCGCGGAACTTTAGAGCTGCAGCGTTTGGAGGGGGTGAGGGGGGTTGAAAAGCTCGACTGTGACAGAGCAGGAGCCACCTCGCTCTCTCAAGCGCCTAGCGGGGATGGACACCTCAGGGCAGCAGCGCGCGCAGCAGGAGAGGAGGAGAATCTACCTGAAGCAGTGTGCCGCGCGTGCGGGAGCCTGAGGTGGGCGGAGTCTCAGAGCCTGTGGCGCTGGCGACGGAGACCAAACCGCCAGAAGAGCGCGCGGGCGAGCAGACGGCGGGGAGTCGGTCGGGTAGGGCGAGCGAAGCCGGCGGGGGGGGGGGGTGGCGGAGGGGAGGCGGGGAGTGGCGGTGGTGAGGAAGGAAAGGGAAGAGGCGGAGCGTGGGAGCGCACAGTGTCAGGAATACAATAGTACTCCGCGCTGCCTTGGCTGCCGCTGCCGCTGCCGCCACCCAGCAGCCAGCCTGCCCAGGGCTGAGGCCTGACGGGCCAGGCGTCTAGGGCCGAGGGCAGAAGCAGAGCGCTAGGGGGCGGCCCGCGTGGCTCCTCGGAAGGCCCCGGCAGGAGGGCGGGGTGGGGAGGAGATTAGGGGGCAGGTGCGAGGGAGGGAAGAGAAGAAAGCAGGCGGCTAGGGGGCGGTTACCACCCTTGCCGGACTCGCCCAGCACGTTGAGGGGGCCCTCAGTGTGCGGCGGGGAAGCAGCGGAGCCAGACGCTGCGCCCAAGGTAGGCGCTCCCGAGGGCGGCCGGCGCACCGGCGAAATTGTGGGTGTAGTGAGGGTTTGGCGGCAGGACTGGCGGTCTCGAGGAGTGGGACGCGAGTGGCGCGGAGCTAGGGGTCCCGGCCTCGCCGCGCTTAGTGTCGCTCCAGCTCCGCGTAACGGTTGCCTCCGGTGTCCCCCCGAGAGCCCTGGAACGGAGAGCGTGCGTGGGCTGAGATAAAGTGCCCGGTCGCCCCTCTGCTGTTAGCGCGCCATGCCTGGTGGCCGGAGCTGGGGTCGGGGGTCGGACACGAACACGCGAGCTCTGCTGCAGCCTCTGGGCCACCTCAGGAGGCATTGAGCGCCATAACTGTGGCGGCCGTTTCCTTTGGAGTCCCCTCCAGGCGCCCCTTCCCATACTTGTCCTGTGCTGTAGGGGACTCTTGGGGCCAGACCTCGGGGCCAGAGGGCATGCTCTTTCAGCTGCCTGTGGCTAGCTGGTCAGAGTAGAGAGAGGGCGCACCCTGGCTGTTTGAGCCTTTCGGAGCCGGAAGGTACTGAGTGTCTGAGGAGGGAAGACCAGCAGTGCAGGGAGCAACCAGGCACCCTTGAGAGCCTAAATGCCAACCTAGCGGGAGCGCGGGCGCCCTGCCGGCCGGCGAACTTTCCTTTCTCCAGTCATTGTTAGGACGCTGTTCACAGCTGCCAAGCGCCCCTGCAGTCCTGGGGGTGGGAAAATCGCCAGGTCTTTGCCAATTAAGGGGAGATTTTACTCTGCCACCGGCCCCAGCACAGTTGTTAACTTTTCTCCAGCTCTTGAGTTCGTTTTATTCCCTTCTCTGAGGGAGCTACATTTATTTTATTTTTTAAGCCTCTAATCTTTTTCTCTTGCTTTTCGGAGCAGAGCCTTGGCTTTGGTGGAGTCTGGCTTTAAATTACACGGAGCAGCCAGTGTTCATTATTTGTGAGGTGGGATCTCAAGTGAGTGCCCTTAATGGTGGTATGTAGAAACCTGCTTAAGAGTTTATCTCTGTGCAGCCCTAGGGCATACATACATAGCCTGTAGGGATTTGGCAAGAAACTTGTTTGGCCACTTTAGTAGCATTCTGAGTTGCAAGAAAATCCATATTCTGAGATGTGCACTAGGGTCGACCCCCTCCCCTTCCTTGTGAGAAGCACTAATCTGTGATGCTGAGGATGAGATAGCCCCCCTGTATCTTCCACAGTTAGACTGTATAAAAAAATCAAAACCGTGGTGACAGAGATTCCAGTGTCCTAGAGGGAAAAGTGACCTCATTCCCTGCACTCAGTCAGATAAAGATAACTGCTACTCTCCAAACTCTGAAAAGTAATGAAAAAAAAATTGGTAAAAACTCGTTGTACAACATCTTTGCCTAGTTCTCCTTAAACAGAATCCACTTTCCCAGAGTACTTCTTAAATACCTCCCTGCAGCCACTTCTTGTCAGCCTGGGGGTTGGAGAATGGGTGTGGGGAGAAGAACAGAGTCCACTTGAACAAAGCATTGTGTTTTATTTAGTTTAATATTTCTATAACATCTGTAATGGAGGGAATGTAGAGCCTAGCCATTGTATGCTTTGAAAAGTGATGATTCTGGACAAATTAAAATAGTTTTTTGTTTTTTGTTTTACTTTTTTGTTTCACCTTAAGATTACTTTACTTCCATAACTAACATTTTCTTTTTTATTTAAGGTCAGCTATGAGTTTAAATACGTGAATTATTAGAGGATAAACTCCCACTACAAGGATGGAAGTTGGGGGTTCTCTTCATATTAGTTGGGGAGAGGCCCAATTCATATTAACCTCTCAACATCAGTTACCATCATTGCCACATATCTTTCACTTGTATTGTTCTGTAAACTTCTGTTCTCTAAATAAGAGCTCTTACTCCAATATTGTTGCCTTAAAGGAGTTCCTCATCCTTTTTGTCACCAAGTTTTTTGATAATACAGATTACAGTGTTCTAGAATCCTCCCTTTGTTTTGTCTTTCCTGAATGTGTCCTTGGCAATGTAGATGAATCTTGGTTACAGGCAGGGAAGGAGCCAGGTATGACTTGGAAACAGTTTTCAGGACACTTGTGAACCACTTTCTGGTCTATAGAGAAGGGTCCCAGGACAATCACAAGTCATGATTCAGGGAGTTATCATACCCGAGATATACAAGGTAGTCTAAGCTAAAGTACAAGTATATTGAAGACTTACATGTTTAGTATGACCATCTTCTTTAATAATTAATGCTTGTCATTTCCATGTCTTGTGTTCTACCAACCATAACCAATGTTTGCCCTCTAAGCTATACAAAGCCATCTCTTTGTTTTTTGGTTTGTGTGTTTGTTCTTTTACTTAGAGGTCTAGTTGAAACTAATCACTTATTTTGGGGGGTGGTGAGGTAATCAGGAGACATCAGGTGTGTGTTTGTTTTTTTTTTTCATAGATAATTCTTTTTTCATTTTTATTTTTTATATTAATCACAGTTTATTTACTTTGTATCCCAGCTGTAGCTCCCTCCCTTATTCCCTCACAATCCCACCCTCCCTACCTCATCTCCTCCCTACCCCTTTTTAAGTCCACTGATAGGGGAGGATCTCCTTCCCTTCCATCTGACCCTAGCTTTCCAGGTCTCTTCAGGACTGGCTGCAATGTCCTCTTCTGTGGCCTAGCAAGGCTGCTCCTCCCCCCCGGGGGGGGGGTCAAAGAGCTTGCCGTTGAGTTCATGTCAGAAATAGTCCATGTTCGCCTTAGTAGAGAACACACTTAGATACTGAGCTACCACAAGCTATATCCGGGCAGGGTTTCTAGGTTATATCCATACATGGTATGATCCTTGGTTGGAGAAACAGTCTCATGAAAGACCCCTGTGCCCTGATATATTTGGTCCTTGTGGAGCTCCTGTCCTCTCCACGTCTTCCTAACTCCCCCTTCTTTCATATGATTGCCTGCACTCTGCCGAAGGTTTGGTTATGAGTCTTAATATCTGCTTTGATACAGTGCTAGGTAGAGTCTTTCAGAGGCCCTCTGAGGTAGGTTCCTGTCCTGTTCTTTTTTTTCACCTACTTCCAATGTCCATCCCATTTGACTTTCTAAGTGAGGATTGATCATCTTATCCCGGGTCATCTTTCTTGTTTATCTTCTTTAGGTGTATAGATTTCAGTATATTTATACTATCTTATAAGTCTATATAAGTGAGTATATACCATGTGTGTCTTTCTGCTTTTGGGATACCTCACTCAGGATGATTATTACTAGGTCCCACCATTTGCTGCAAATTTCATGATTTCCTCATTTTTAATTGCTGAGTAGTAGTCCATTGTGAAAAAGTACCACAATTTCTGTATCCATTCCTCAACTGAGGGACATCTGGGTTGTTTCCAGCTTCTGGCTATTACGAATAAAGCTACTACAAACATGGTTGAACAAATTTCCTTGTTGTGTACTTGAGCATCTTTTGGATATATGCCTAGGAGTGCTATAGCTGGATCTTGAGGAATCACTATTCTTAATTTTCTGAGAAAGCACCAGATTGATTTCCAAAGTGGTTGTACAAGTTTACATTCCCACCAGCAGTGGAGGAGGGTTCCCCTTTCTCTACAACCTCTCCAGCATGTGTTGTCAGTTGAGTTTTTGATCTTACCCATTCTGATGGGTGTAAAGTGAAGTCTCAGAGTCGTATTGATTTGCATCTCCCTGATGGCTAAGAACATTGAGCATTTCTTTAGGTGTTTTTCTGCCATTCTACAATCATCTACAGAGAGTTCTCTGTTTACCTCCGTGCCCCATTTTTTAATTGGATTACTTGATTTGTTGCTTTTTAATTTCTTGAATTTTTTATATATTCTGGATATTAGCCCTCTGTCAGATGTAGGGTTGGTGAAGATCCTTTCCCAGTCTGTAGGCCGTCGTTTTATTTTGATGACAGTGTCTTTTGCTTTACAGAAGCTTTTCAGTTTCATGAGGTCCCATTTATTTATTGTTGATCTTAGAGCCTGTGCTGTTGGTGTTCTGTTCAGGAAGTAGTCTCCTGTACAAATGAGTTCTAGGGTCTTCCCTACTTTTTCTTCTAACCGATTTAATGTGTCTGGTTTTATGTTGAGGTCTTTGATCCATTTTGGACTTTAGTTTTGTGCAGGGTAATAAATATGGATCTATTTTCATTTTTCTGCATATAGACATCCAGTTGGACCAGCTCCATTTGTTGAAGATCCTGTCTTTTTTCCATTGAATGGTTTTGGCTTCTTTGTCAAAAATCGAGTATTCATAGATGTGTGGGTTTATTTCTGGGTTTACTATTCGGTTCCATTGATTCTCCTTTCTGTTTCTATTCCAATACTATGCAGTTTTTATTACTATTGCTCTGTAGTACAGCTTGAGATCATGGATGAAGATACCTCCAGATGATCTGTTGTTGTACAGGATCGTTTTGAAAATTCTGGGTTTTTTCTTTCTCCATATGAAGTTGGGGATTTCTCTTTCAAGGTCTGTAAAGAATTTTGTTGGTATTTTGAAGGGAATTGCATTGAATCGGTAGATTGCTTTTGGCAGAATTGCCATTTTCACTATGTTAATCATACCAATCCATGAGGATGAGAGATCTTTCCATCATCTGATATCTTCTTCAATTTCTTTCTTCAGAGACTTGAAGTTTTTCTCAAAATGTCTTTCACTTGTTTAATTAGAGTCACACCAAGGTACTTTATGTTATTAGTGGCTATTGTGAAGGGAGTTGTTTCCCTAATTTCTATCTCAGTCCTTTTGACTTTGGTATACAGGACGGCTTCTGTTTTTGTGAGTTGATTTTGTATCCAGCAACTTTGTTGAAGGTGTTTATCAGTTGAAGGAGTTCTCTGGTTGAATTTTTGGGACGCTCATGTATACTATCATATCATCTGCAAAAAGTGATACTTTGACTTCTTCCTTTCCAATTTCTATCCGTTTAATCTACTTTAGTTGTTTTATTGCTATAACTAGGACTTCAAGTATTATGTTGAAGAGATATGGAGAAAATGGG